TTCACCTTAAAAAGTGAAGTGATTTACAGTGCAAAAGGAAGGCCAGAATGGGCAGCAGGTAGGCTGGGGTGGCCTGTCGGCCCTCACCCCGCAAGACTTGAACTGCCTCTCTCCTCACGCAGCCATAGACCTCATCAACAACCTGCTGCAGGTGAAGATGCGCAAGCGCTACAGCGTGGACAAGTCTCTCAGCCACCCGTGGTTACAGGTGATGCAGGGGGCGGGGCTGAACCTAGATTTCTCATTGGCCACGCAAGTGGTGAGGGGTGTGGCACGTTACGGTGGTTAAGGAAAGAGCCTGGGCCTCCCATTGGCTGAGCTGTGGGAGGGGGTGGGGCTACATCTCTATTGGTGGAGCGGGTTGCGAGGCATGTGGCTACCTGGTCTTCGGTGCCTGGAGCTGGGTCGCTATTGGCTGCCGTCCTTGCAGCGCCCCCAAGCTAACCCCTGTTTTCCGGGGCCCAGGAGTACCAGACCTGGCTGGACCTCCGAGAACTGGAGGGGAAGATGGGCGAGCGGTACATCACTCACGAGAGCGACGACGCGCGCTGGGAGCAGTTCGTGGCGGAGCACCCGCTGCCCGGGCCCGGGCTGCCCGCCGACCGGGAGCTGGATGGGGCCTTCCCACCGCAGGACCATGAAATGCAGGGGCTGGCCCAGCGCATCAGCGTCCTCTGAGGCCCCGCTGCCCCGTGATGCTGTAACCCCCGTCCTCGTCCCACCGATGAACTGCTCTAGTGGAAGCGACCTCCCGCCCAAACTGGATGGGACAGGCCCCGGGGGCAGAGCTTGTCGGGGATGCAGGGAGTTATTTCCAAAGTTAATTCCTCAACAATTAAAACGGACTCATCTCTGGCCCCATGGCCACGGTCTCTGGCCACACCTCTTGTATCCTCAGTCTGTTCGCCTGGGAAGGGGGCTGCCTAGGAAGGAGGCCTGATGGAGAGGTGGGGAGGAGGGCAGAGAGGGCTAACGGTGGGAAATACAGAGGGGGAGGGGTGCCGGGAGGGGAAACTAGAATTGGGGAAGGTATGGAGGCGGCATGNGGGGAGGACTTGGCAGAGAGGGCTAACGGTGGGAAATACAGAGGGGGTGGGGTGCCGGGAGGGGAAACGAGAATTGGGGAAGGTATGGAGGCGGCATGAGGAGGAGAGGGAAGAGTATAGACAAAGAGTTACAAGTGGAAGAGAGGTGAAGGAATATGGCCGGAGGGGGAGGTCGGGTGGAGGAGTGGGGGGTTTAGAGGAAAGCAAATAATCTCATGGTTTATTTGATGCATTTTATATTTGGTGTTGCTATTACTGATCAGCTATCAGTAATGACATTGCAATCAGCAGAGGTCTGGTTCATAGCATAAACCTGATACACAATATTTACTATTTTAAATTGATGTGATGACTTCTCCACACTGAATGTGTTCATTCACTGGTTCACCCATTTGTCACACTGTGCTGGATGATTGATGTTGGAGACACGGTGGTGACCAAGCCACCCCAGGCCCCTGTCCTCAAGGGGTTCACCATCCAGTGGGGAGACAGACCTGTCCTTGGACAATGATGACCCAGAGTGGGCAGGTCTAGGATGGGGAGCCCAGGAGGGTAGGGCAGCCTACAGCGAGCCTGGGGGTCAGGGAAGACAAATCTTCTGAGCTGACTTCTAGGCCCTGAGGTTGTAGGCAAAGGGAAGATCCTTCCACCTTTGACCCCTGCTCTCCAGTATCCCAGCTCCCCATTGTCAGCCAGACCCTTGGTCCCACAGCTGAGGGTGAGTGATGTGGGAGCATGCACCTGGACACCTTCTCTTTACACCTTGGTCATATGTAGGCTTAGACATCTTAGTTAAAGACTTTCCTGAGCCCCTTAAAACCTCAATGTTTAACCGCCAATTTAGGCTAGTTACTACCTGAGCTTGCTCTTCATGTCTTCCCAATTTATATCAACTAATCCATCTGCTGGTTGGTTCTGGAGCTGCAGCTCTTTGATTTGAAAAAAACTAAATGAGCCTCAGTCAATGAGGATCTCCAAGTGAACTAGAACACCTCTGAGGTGTAACCTGAGCTAATACTAGTGGGGGATGTCTCTTAAACTCCATCCTGAATGTGCCTTCCTCTAAAACTGATCTAAGATCCAGGAGTGTAGACAACAGAGGGACAAATCCATTACCAAGGATAGACCCAGGCTAGGAAATGTATGGAAAGACTACTCAGGCCTGATCCTTAACAATTCTGCCTTGGCAACTAGATTTAATATCCTGAAATTGGAGGCATGATCAAAAACATAACTTTAACTAGAAAAATGCCTCGATTACAGAATTCATGAAATAGCCCAACATCATGAGGATGCCATGGCAGATCAAATCCATACAATATATTTTAAGGTCCTAGGACTCAAACAATTAGAAACAAAAAAAATGTCCATTTTATCAGGACCATCAAGTACCACAAAACCTTGAGACTGTCCAGCTTTAAAATACAAAAAGAAATTCAAGCCTAAGATTCTGTCTCCCCAATGACTGCCTTCCAGCAGACTTTCTCCTCCTGTCCATAAATATCCCTCAACTCACAGAGGGAAATGACCATCCCCATTAATGGGCTTGCTACCACCGTTTTAGTAAACACAGGGGCCACACCACTAGTATCTCACATCTACCCCCCAAGTACACAGCAGTGGTTGTGATGAGATGCCAGTTTGCCACATGATTTACCCTTGTCTAAGCCATTCTCTGTCTTGTTAGGTACCTTACTACCCAACACCTTTCTTTTTATTATTTTAAATTTTAATTTGTTGATTGATTTTTAGAGAGGGGGGAGGGAGAGAGAGAAACATTCACGTGAGAGAGCAACATTGATCAGCTGCCTCCTGCACGCTCCCTACCGGGGATAGAGCCTGCAACCCAGGCATGTGCAGAGATCCAACATGCAACCTTTTGGTAACCACCCTAATGTCAGGAACCACCTCTTAATTGAACTCACCTGGGTTTCCCAGCTATCAAAATATTACCCATCCCAAGTCAACCGATGCTGCTGACAATTTCTTCTGTATCGGTGGCATTCATTGTTCTTCTAGTGACTCATCTCGTAGTCCCAGCCCTGTCCCTGCATCTTCTCAGTTTTCCACCTTTAATCAACATTTGTTTCTGATGACTCAAATAAATAAGACTATTATCCCCATGAGACTTGGGTCACCCCCAATTATGGGTACTTTCTATGTGTGGATTTCACTGACTGGTATCTACCTACCAGCTGGACTGGCTCCTGTGACCTTGCCAATCCTGTAAGCCCTTATCAGAGTTTCTATCCCCCTAATTCTATCAACACCCACATTTCACTCTCCTCTCAAACCTGCAATTCCTCACAAATGTAAGAGGTCTGTCAGATCCTGTGGAGGCTGAAAATCACCACACAGGCACAAGATCCAGGATTACTGTCATCTCCTTTTTCATTAGGATCCAAAGAGGCCTTGGAACAAGAAACCAGATGCTTGGGAGTAAACCCTGAGGATTCAGTATGGCCTCCAACCATATTTGGGCAACTTTTGTACCCAGGTTAGGGGCTGCCGGGGAGGGACTTGTGGCCTGTGGTTGGAAGCAATGCTGCATGTTAATTTCCAGGAACTCTGCAGGCATCATCATTATCAATAAGGACATCAAAAGGCCAAAAAGGAAATCTGCAGAATTGCTACCACTGTTCTGACTCTGCCAATCAAGCATCTCTCTCCACTTCCTTCTCGGAACCCTCTCGATTGGCTGCCCTTTGGCCTCGAATCTTGGTTTTACTCCTTTATTCAGCCATTTTAATGCATCTTCCTAGGAATTACCATCTGCAAATGCCTGCTGACCAGAACCCTGAATCAGCTTGAGATTCAAGATTTTACATAGCAAGTGGTCCAACTGGTCTTGCACAAACAACAGGGAAGAAATGCCAATCCTGACATCACCCCAGACACCATCTACTGAGAAAAACTTGTTTGCAAGCCAGCTCTCCAGATCCCCCTTTCATTAATCCCAATCATCTCCCCATGTTAGAAAATTAAGGTCGTTAAGGACAGATTAGGCCTGTCTTAAACAAGAGGGGGATTGAGTCAAGTTTGTCTCTATTAAAGTTCAGGCTTATTTTTCTCCTTTGGACTCTAGAATAGTTTTTACTTATTTATCAGATCCTCTGTGGCTTATTTATCAGATACATGGAAGGCACCATTTCAAGCACTTGACAAATATATCACTTAATCCTCATAACAACTCTGTGAGGTAGGCAGTATTCTGACGCCCATTATACAGATGAGAAAACTGAGGCACAGGGAGGTTAAGCATGTTTCTCAAGATCACACAGCTGTAAAGTGGTAGAGTTTGGACTCACTCTTGACAGTCTTTGCTCTAATTCTCTACTGTTACCTCTCCTGCTCATGATCAGAAGGTCACTCATAAAAGTGAGAGGCTCTCACATGGTCTTCTGGGCCCTGGCTTTTAAGGAGTCAAGGACTGTCTGAGAAATGGTTATGAATGTTGGAACTAAATCTTGAAGGTTGTAGGGACGCACACTTGGCGTAGTGACACAGGCTGGCCACCTGAGGGGGCGCCAGCCTCACTCGCGGAGCCCGGAGAGGGAGGAGGGAACCTTGGAAACAAATGTCAGGCTCAGACTCTTTAGGACCATAGAACGTCGAGAACACAGCATCTTAGAAGGCTGAGAACAAAGCCTCTTAGAACGTAGAACAAAGGCCCCTGGAATCGTAGAATGGTGAGCTCAGAACCTCACCGCATCTGGGAGACAAAGACGTTTAGATTCTGTTCTGGCTAAATCATAGAATCTTCCTCCAGGGTCTTATAACGCCAAATTTTGGAATATAACCGATCTTAGACTCTTAGAAGCAAGACTGGCTACATAATTTGCGAGTCCTAATGTGAAATGAAAACGCAGGGCCCCTTGTTTAAAAATTAAGGATTTCAAGACCGTAACAGCAGAACATTAAAACCAAGCCCCCGGATCCTCTAAGCTTGGCCGCATGCCGGTGAAACCGGCCCCGCTTAGAAGTATAATTCTATGGGAGGTTGTTGATCTGAACTAGACCGGCCCTTCTAGTTTTACGGCTGAATTCTGAGAGGGCTTCATGGAAGAGAGGGCAAAATCCGGGCTCTATTCTCTAACTCTTTCCTACTCCCGCTTAACCTCAGAAGCTGAGGGTTGCGAGGGGCTGAAGGGAAAGGGAGATCGGCCAGTAACTTGGACCCGTTCTCTATTTATAGAATACCTCTTCCCTTCCTGCCCAACAATCCAATGGTAGCCCGAGCTCGCCCGCAAGGGGGCGGAACCAGTTGCGGGACCCGGGAGGCACTGACCAATGACATTGGAGCAAGGACGGGCTTGTTTCATTGTGACGCGTGGGGGCGTGGCCACGGACCAATGGCAGGCTGGCGTGGGGGGGGCGTGGCGAGGCCGCCTGAGAGCACAGCGAGTAGGCAGCTGCGAGCATGCGTCGCATTGGGGGAGCGGGTGCATGCCCCAGCAATAGGTGCTGGTTGCTGTGTGGTCGGGGGCGTGGCTATGCAGATAAGGCGCGGGCGGGCGGCCCAATGGGCGTGCGCCTATGCAGATGAGACGGTGACAGCCGGGCCAGCGGGCGGGCGGGCAGGCGGGCTGTTGGGGNATCCGGGCCTTCTCGTTCCCGGTGAGCCCCGAGCGGGGCCGGCTGCGGGGCTGGCTGGAGGGCAGCCTGGCCGGGCTCTGCGAGTTGCACTGGCTACGGGAGAGGCAGGAGTACCGCGTGCAGCAGGCGCTGCGGCTGGCCCAGCCCGGAATGGGGGGCGCCGAGGCCGAGGACGAGGAGGACGCCGACGAGGACGAAGATGCAGCGGCGGCGCGCCGGGCCGCGGCGGCCCTGGAGGAGCAGCTGGTGAGGGGCCGCCTGTCCGTCCGTCCCTCCGCAACCATCTGTATCTGTCTGTCTATCTGTCTCGGTTAGATGCTCACACACCCGTCCCGGTGGGGGAGGGGAAGGGGGGAAGG